CACTCACACACACACACTCACACACTCACTCACACTCACACACACACACTCACTCACTCACTCACTCACACTCACTCACACACGCACTCACTCACTCACTCACTCACTCACTCACTCACTCACACGCACACATGCACACGCACCGTTTTCTTCAGTTCAAGGAGCGTGGTGGACATGATTCTGTGTTGATGTGACAATGTGGCTGGACGACGACAACGAGGACGAGTGCGTTCCTTTCTCTCCTGCCCAAAGCACAAACAACGCGCGTGAGCAAAGGAAGCATTCAAACTCTGAAGTACACACACACACACACACACACAAACACACAAACACACAGACACACACACACACACACATACACACACACACACACACACACACACACACACACACACACACACACACACACACACACACACACACACACACACACACACACACACACACACACACACACACACACACACACAAACACACACAAACACAACAACCACAACAAAGCTGTTCGACTTACTTCAGTTGTGTAGGCAATTGTGCGAAATCATTCGCCATTTGTCGTGCCATTGTACCCGCCAGACAAAAGAGAAAAGGAGGGAGGGGCACAAGAGCGCACCACCATCCAAGAAGGAGCCAGCCACACCGTGCATCCCATACCACCACCACCACTCACAAGAACCTAGCTAGCGCTCAGACAGTAGTAGCACAGTAGCATGGTGGCTGTGCTTGCGGTGGTCTTACCGCTGATTGCGGCGCTTGTTCCTTTTGGTGAGCCCTTCTCCTTCCCTCCTTCCTTCCTTCTCCCTGCGATTGCGCTGCATTGCCACAATGATTGGTGCTTGCTGGGGCTGCAACGGATCCACCCTGTCCTGCTGCTGGCGTCTTCTGGCCACGGATCGACAAGCCCTCTCTCACCACGTTGTGCTGTATTGTCTAACGCCCATACACCTTTGCCTTGTTTGGTGGTGTGCAGTCATCTTCCTGTGCATTCGGCGAGCAACATCCAAGAAGGAAGCACCCAAAAAAGGTGCGTCGTGAGCCTGCGGCGTTGTCTGCTTCCGGGCGGGTGCGCAGGGAGGGGGGGGGGGGTGCGTGAGCGTTTTGGTTCGGGGGAGAGCTGACAGCTCAAGTAAACCGCGAGATGTGCTCTCACGCCCGTGGCGCTTAACTTTACCATGCGCACTTGCCTGTCCCTCACACGCGTCTTCCACCACTGTCGTCGACTGCCTCACCCATGCGTTTGTTTGTTCATCACAGTCATCGAACTGCATTCTGTCGTCGATAAAGTGAGTCATGTCAGGACAAGAGGGACTGGGGCTTGCCGGTGGCGAGCGTTTCTGTCCTGCTGTCTCGTATGGCCTGTGTTTTCGTACATGGCCCACCCTTGGGACGCTGCTTCGTTATTCGATCTGACATCTTTGTCGTGTCTCCTCCTTCTTTCTGCTCCTGCTGCTGCTGCTGCTCCTCCTCCTCCTCATCATCATCATCATGATCATGATCATCATCAACATCACAATAGTCGCACACAGAGTACCGATCGTCGATGAATGTGTCCTATGTTGGTGAGTGTGCCGCGAACACGCGGTTGGCCTCATGGGTTATGGGGCGTTGGTTTTGCTGCTCGTGTTCCTTTGTGTGGTCATTAGCCGAACGGGTGCGCCTGTCAACACCACCCGGCAAAGCAGGCAAATGCCCATGCTGTGCACCTTTCCTCACGCTCTTGCTTTTGCTGACCTGCATCTGCTGCCTGCTCCAACAGCGCCATCCTTCATGCGCAACGATGAGGCCGCTGGCGAGAATGGTCAAGGCAACGGCACCAACAGCAAGGAGACTGTTCGCATCACTGTGACGGAGGAGGTAAGCAGATGGCTGAGTGCGCGCATGGCATGACTGGCGTTGCTTCATTCCTCCTGCGTGGCCGCGCTTCCAAGTTTGTTGTTTCGGGTGTGCATTCTTGCATCACTGGCCTTCAAAGCCTGTGTCCGCTCACAGTAGCACACACACACATACACACACGCACACACGCACGTACACACGCACACGCACATACACATAGACGCAGCGGTCGTTCCAGAGTGCAACACAGGAAGCGTGGCAGAGTGACGGTGAAAGGGATGACGATGATAACGAGCCGATGCAGGCAACGAACACAGACGATGTTGGTGCTTGCCTTTCTCGCACTCGCATGCATGCTTGCAAGACACCCAACACATACACATGCGCATGCGTGAGGGGTGCCTGTGTGCGTGTGTGTGTATTTATGCGTGTGCGGTGTGTTGCTGACTCCATTTGTGTTTGCCTGCATGCAATCATGGCTTGCAGGCGTACGCGCTTGCACGGGACGGCCCAGCAGCGGCCTCAGAGGAACATGATGACGACGACAGCAGCAACGAGCATCGGGTGAGTGATTTTGATTCTTCTCCGCAGTGCACACACCTGTCGTGCATCATAGGCTCGTGTTTGAACTGTCACTTCAATCATCTCCATCACCCTCACTCGTTCG